TTCCCAGCCTCCCTTGCAGCTAGCTGTGCCATGGGACTAAGTTCTGACTGATGGGCTATGAGTAGAAAACAGTGTGCCTTGGGGCGCCTGGGGGGCTCAGTCGGTTGAGCGTCCGACTTCGGCTCAGGTCATGATCTCATGGTCCGTGAGTTCCAGCCCCGCGTCGGGCTCTGTGCTGATGGCTCAGAGCCTGGAACCTGTTTCAGATTCTGTGTCTCCCTCTCTCTCTGACCCTCCCCCATTCATGCTCTGTCTCTCTCTGTCTCAAAAATAAATAAACGTTAAAAAAAAAAAGTTAAAAAAAAAAAAAAGAAAAGAAAACAGTGTGCCTTAATTACAGGGAGCGTCCCTAAAGAGAAGAAATGTGCTTCTCCTCATCCTCTCTGCCTTCCTACTGCCTGGAATGAGGATGTAATGGCCGGCCCCCCAGCATCCATCTGGGACTGTGAGGTGACCACGGGAACGGGATCCATTCACAGCTGAACCAAAAGCAAAGGGTCTCTGACACCACTGAGACACTACACCAGCCCTTTTAAGTGAAAGAGAAATAAACTTCTATTTTGGTTAAGCCGCTTATTTCTGTGTTTTCTGAATTGCGACGCGGAACCTAATCCTAACTGATACACTCGCGTGCGTTTATTCATTCTGAAATGAACCAGCAACAACGAAAGAATGGAACTGAGTGTGTGATTCCGGGTTGGATCCTCCGTACCCTTCTGCACGGGACGCCGAATGGCCAGTCTGCCCCAGAAAGGCCCAGAGGAGCCGGATTTTGAGATTAGGAATAAGTGGGGTCTACATCCTCGTGAGAACAGGCGCCCTACGAGAGCTCTGTGAAGGCCCAGGTGTCCTGGAGGGAGTGGCCGCCCCTCTCCGGGCCTCGCCAACCTCCTGGTTCCCCAGGCAGCTAACAGTCCTGCCGGGCCTTCCAGGAAAGGTGGGCATGAGGCTCTAAGTCAGAGTGATGCTGGCCGCAGGCCCCGGGGGTGTATGGAAAATTAGGCAACCGTCTTCTTACAGGCTGGCGGCGTCTCTGGGTTCCACCAGCCCCGACACCACTCACACCGGCTACTTCCAAAAGAGACTCCTACCCTCTGATTTAAAACACCCTCCCAGCCTCATCAAACACTGCCCCCCAACGTCATCAATATCACAGTGGGTTAGGCTTTGCTCTTCCCATAAAGGCAGGCGGGATGAACCCCCACGCCCAGGGCGGAGAATGAAAGGCAAACTGCCCAGACTGGCCTCATTTTTGCCGAGGGCCAACCGCAGGTCGGGCTCAAACCCAGGCAGCTCGAAGCAAGTGAGTGCAACTCGTGAGACGTGTGCTGACTGTGTAGGCCATCAGTCAGGGCCCTTTCTGTCCCAAGTGACAGACATTGCAGGCTATAAAGGGGAATGCACTGGCTTGCATAAATGAACAGTCCGTGGATGGCTCCCAGTTCCCTCCTAAAGTCCTGACCAGACACTCTGACTGGACAGCGTGGCTCCTGGGCCCAACGGGAACCAATCACTGTGGCCGGGGGACAAACAAGCCTCCAACTGGCTCAGGCTGGGGTCACGGGCTCCTCTGGACTCAGAGCAGTCACTTTCCTGCAGGACTTATCAGAGACTTTCCATGAAGACGTGGGCAAAGACACGTGGTGTTTCCTAAATTGCTTTGAATCTGGCTGAACGATCACCAGATCTGTTGGTACCGGGACTGTGGTTAGATGGGCTTGAGCAGCGGCTGCCTCCCTGAGACAGAGCACACGTTCTCAGTTTGCTCCAATCCCCACCATTCCCTAATGTGTAGCCCCCAGCCCACCTCCCTGTAGACACTGAAGTTTGAAATCTGCTTGTGGTTGGATAAGTCCCAAATGCAAAGATGTGAAGCACACTATGAGAGAAATCAAATAGCCTTCCAACATTTTTTTAATGTTTATTTTTGAGAGAGAGAGAGAGAGAGAGAGCGAGCGCGTGAGTGGGGCGGGGGCAGAGAGAGGGGGAGACACAGAATCGGAAGCAGGCTCCAGGCTCCAAGCTGTCGGCGCAGAGCCCGACGCGGGGCTCAAACTCACGGACCGCGAGATCATGACCTGAGCCGAAGTCGGCCGCTCAACAACCCACTGAGCCACCCAGGTGGCCCTCAAATAGCCTTCAACTAACGGCAACACTCCCTCATAAATACCTGAGTGTGTGCCCTCGCCCACATGCACACACACGTGGACCCAAACACGCAGGGGCACACACAAGCGCACGCAGACGACCTGGGACACAAAGCCAGCCTGAGCCGTCACGTCCCCAGCACGGGGGCCAGGTCTTGCCCTGCAGGTGCTGGGGCATGTGCCCCGCCCTGCATGGGCTCCCGCTGGGGCTGGAGGAGGGGGATGTGTGTCTGCATGTATGACTCTGGTCCCCCCCTCCTCACATCCCGCCTCGTCTGGGTTCCAAGCCCCTGTGTCACCCCGGATTAAGGCTGGAACAAAGGACCGGATGGAGGGGAGGCATCGGGAAGCAGGGTGCCTGAGTCAGGCCGGCCAGGGGGCAGAGGAAGCCTCCGAGACTAGAACACACAGGGGGCCAAAGGGGCCCTGTGCCCCGCGCGGGGGCCCCGGTGGCGGCGGGGAGGCTGCGTGTACCCAGGGCAGGTACGCGCACCTGGCGGCGGCCCCGTTTGCTGCGCTCTCTGCACAGCCCTGGACAAACAAAACACAGAGAAGCTCCCGCTGCCAGGACCCTCCTCCAGGCTCCCCGTCTCCCCCCTGCAGCGGTCCGTGAGGGCACAGACAGATGGTGAGAGTCCCCGTGCCCGGTGCCCGTCCCGCTACACCCCCTCCCTGCGCCTCCACCCTGCCCTTGGCATTCCTGGGGTGTCAACCAGGAAGGGTTAAAGTAAGGTCGCTGCCGGGCGTTATCTGAGCGGGGCCACGGGCCCCTCGGCGTCTTATCTCTGGCTCGCCAGGACCGGTAGGGGAGCAAACAGCAGCTGACAAGTCTCCCAGGGGTGCGGCCGCGGCCCAGGCCTGACTGGGAGATAGGGCACCTGGGACTGAGGTGTGCCCTGCCCCTCGCCTGGACCAGCACGGGGCGGGGGGGGGAGAGCATCGCTGGCTGAAGCAATCCCGTGGGGCTTCTGGGAGGAGGCTGCCCTGCCGATGCGCTTTGAAAGCACGTAGGATTTAGAAGCACGGAGAAGCATGAGAGCAGGAGCAGTCACACACACGCGCCTCGGGGGTTTACGCAGCGGGGTTCTGGTCGGGCTGTGCGGCCTGGAGGAAGCGCTCAACTTCTCTGTGCCTCAGTTTCCTTGTTCGCAAAAATGAAGGTAATGGTATCCACCACGTGGGTGATTGCGGGATTCAATGACTGCTAAGGCCCATTTGCACACAGTAAGTACTCAGGACACGAATAAACTCTGGCCCCCCCCCCCCCCCCCCGCGCACCCTCGTTGCTGAGCACGCTCAGGAGGTAGTAAGAACCAACATTGATTGAAATAGGCCAGGCCCATAGCAAGAATCCGCAAACCACCCATTTTGCAGATTAGGACACCGAGGCTCTGAAGCCGGGCAGTGCTTGCTCAATGAGGAGGAACAGGGCCGGGCTCGGTTCTGGCTGAATCCACAGCCGGGGCTCTCCGCGCCCCCTCTGTTCCGGGGAGCTCACACCGTAGGGTTCCCAGGAAACACCGCAGGGCCCAGTGGCTTCTGGAGGGGCAACTCTGGCCATCGAGGGCAACGCCAGGGTCAAAGAGAGAATGGGACACAGGCAGAGGGAGGTCACGGCAGGTCTCAAATTCTCTTGCGGGAAGGAGGAGGTTCCTGGAAGGGGGAAGCGCTTGGGCAAAGGAAAAGAGGGGGGAAGCCAGCACACTGGTGCAAGCTTTGAAGCCCAGAGACGGGAGGGCACTTGCCCAAGCACACGCAGCCCTCCTGAGGCAGCCGGGGGGACTCCGTGGGAGGGGAGCCAGGGGCTGTTGCCAGCTGGACCCCACACCCTCGGAGCCTTGTTTCCAGCAGGGTCGTGAGGGTGGGATAGGGCTTCCCGATGCCAAGACCTCATGGGCTCCGGCCATCTGTGGGACCTCAGCACCCCTAGCTGGGGTGAAGGCCCCTGAGGGGCAGAGCCCAGGGAGGCTGGAGGGGCGGGTCCCGGCCTTCCCAGCCCAGAGCCAGGCTTCCCCATCAGAGACGCTTTGCTGCCCCCTGGTGGCTCCAAAAGATTCTAATTTCCCTTCCTACGGGATGCTTCCCACAGGTCAGATCGGCACCCACCCTCCTTGTGACCCGCAGCTGTATCCAAACCAACCTGGAGGTCCTCCCTCCTTCCCCAATGTCCCGCCACCACCGACCTGCACACAAAGGTGTCATATTGAAAATCACAGGGTTTGAGCCTGGCTGGGCCGCACTCCAGCTATGACCTTGAGTGGGTTCGGTCACCTTCCTGTGCCTCAGTTTCCCCATCTTTAGAACGGGGGTGATAATAATGGTTTCTGCTTCATCAGGACCTTTGTGAACATTAAAGAAGCAAATGCATAGAGAGCCCTTGGTAAAGGGACGTCTGGGGGGCTCAGTCAGCTGAGCGTCCGCCTTCAGCTCAGGTCATGGTCTCACAATCCGTGGGTTCGAGCCCCGCGTCGGGCTGTGTGCTGACAGCTCAGGGCCTGGAGCCTGCTTCGGATTCTGGGTCTCCCTCTCTCTCTCTCTGCCTCTCACTCACTCACACTCTGTCTCTGTCCCTCAAAAATGAATAAAGGTTAAAACTTTTTGTTTTTTTAACAAAAAGCACTCGGTAAAGACTGGTGATATTGTCCTTGCCTACCCAAGGCCTGAGGTCCCCCTCCTCCCGAGCGGGTCCCCCAGGGAGGAAAGCCCTGAGGGGGTTCCGCATGACGGGATTCCCTTAGAGACCCAAGTTTCGCGTCCTTGCTATTATCGCCCACGCCATGTGATGTAGAAAGAGGCGCCTCACCGCAGAGCCAGCCTCGAGGAGAGACCGGATTAGCTGGAATTACAAATTCGACTCAGAAAGGGTTTATTGGCCAGGGCTGCGGGGAGTCACAGGGAGCAGGAGGGCTTCCTGTAGGAGGCGGCTGCACCATCCATGAGCCCAGAGGCCCCTCGGCCACCTGCCGGTGTGTCCGTCCGGAGGAGGGGCCCTCAGCTCTGACCCAGCTGGGCTTTCAGGGCCTGCAGCCCTTGACTGTTGATGTTGTTGCCTCCACACACAATGACCACGACCGAGGCCAGGGAGGGGCTCAGGCGGCCCTCAGCCTGGAGCCTCCCCAGGAGGCCTGAGTAGATGACAGCCAGAGCTGCCCCGCAGGCAGGCTCCACCAACATGCGCTCGTCGTCTGTCCGGAGGAGGGGACGCGGGGGTGGATGAGAAGAGAGAAAGGGAGGAGGAACCAGTCAGTGCTCAGGAGGCTCTGGGCACTGCAAATCCATGAAGCCGGCCAGCCAGCCATCTCGCAATCCATCATTTGGCTGACCCCCTCTCCATCCATCAATCTGACTGTCTATCCATCCATCCATCCACCTTTCATCTATCTATCCATCCATCCATCCCTCTATCCATCACGGGACTGTCTGTCTGTCCATCCATCAGCGTATCCATCAGTCAACGGATCCATCCATCTATCCATCCATTCATCCATCATCCCCTCTCCATCACGGGACTGTCTGTCTGTCCATCCATTAGTGTATCTATCAATCAATGTACCCATCCATCCATCCGTCCGTCCATCTATCCATCCATGCATTCATCCATCCATCCCCCTATCCATCATTGGACTGTCTGTCCATCCGTCAATGTGTCCATTAATCAACGTGTGCATCCATCCATCTATCCACCCACCCACCCATCCAGCCATTATCTACCTTTCCACTCACTCATACATTCACCCATTCATTCAACAAATATTTATTGAGGGCCCACTCCCTGCCTGGCCCTATGCTAGGAAGGCTCTGGGGACACAACAGTACACAGGACACAGCAGGCCCCACCCTCACGGGGGCTACATCTAGTGCTGTGGATGAATAAGGACCAGGCAGGTATGAACAGACAAACTGGTGCCTGGGACGTCTCTAACCCCGGCAGGATGTGGGTGGGAGACCGGAGGAGGCTGCCCGGAGCAGGTGCCATGATGACTGAGTAGCCCTGAGTCACACGAAATTGACAGGGGCCAGGGATGGGCGGCCGGAAGGAAGAAGGTACACATGGAAGCCTGGAGGCTAGAGACGGCCCGGCACACGCCTCTTCCGTGCACTCAACGTGCAGTTATTTGGTAAGCACCGTGGCAGGCACTGAGGATACAGACAAGAGAGAACACGCTACCTCTAGGGGCCCAGGGACCTCATGAGTCTCCGAGCCTGGGGAGGGAGGGCAAGGCTCACTCACCCAGGAACTTCTGCACGGCACTCACGGCCTGGGCATCGTCCACTACCTCAGAGAAGATCTCCAGCTCCTTTGTGCACTCCAGGGCCCTCCTGGCCACAGTCTTGGCACCCAGGCTCTTGGCCACACTGCAGGAGGGGGCAGGCAGGACAGGGAGCGCAGGGGTGTGGGGAAGAGCTGGTGAATCCTCGGACCTCCGCCTTCGCAGACCCAGCTCTCCAAGCCCCAAGGCCCCCTCCCATCCAGCCATGAGCCGCGGCTCAGCCCTGTAAGAGGCTAGCACAGCACTGGCCCAGAGGACGTGCTCAACGATCGGGTGTCCCACGAATGGCGGACAAATAAATGCACCTCACTCCCTCCCACTCGATAACCATGAGTGTGCCCTTCCTTTGCACGGACCCCAGAAACCCAAACACAGAAATGGGTTGGTTTTTTTTTTTTTGTGTGCATCTTATTCATTAATAACTATTTATCACGTCTGCACGATAACTAATACTTGCTGAGTATCTGCAGGGTGATAGATGCATTTTCTCTTTCAATTCTCATGATCACCCCTTGAGTTAGAAATTTATGAACTCTTGGGGCGCCTGGGGGGCTCAGTCGGTTGAGCGTCCGACTTCGGCTCGGGTCATGATCTCACGGCTCGTGAGTTCGAGCCCCGCGTCGGGCTCTGTGCTGCCAGCTCGGAGCCTGGAGCCCGCTTTGGATTCCGTGTCTCCCTCTCTCTCTGCCCCTTCCCCTCTTGCACTCAGTCTCTCGCTCGCAAAAATAAATAAACATTAAAAAAATTTTTTTTAAAGAAAGAAATTTATGAACTCCCTTTTACAGAGAGGAAATTGAGGCCCAGGGGGAATAAGTAACTGATTCCAGGACACGCAGTGAGTCAGTAGTAGAACGTGGATTCAAATCCAGGCAGTCTGGCTCCAAGGTCCTTGCTTCTTATCTCTATGCTTGGGATCACCTACCTGCTGGCACTTTCCGGAGCTGGGCAGTTTGCCTCAGGCCCAGGAGAGACTTTGCCGAGTCCATCACAGCTGGGTCTGCATCCCGAGGGGCCCAGAGCATAGACTCGGGAGCCAGGCTGCCTGGTTTGAAACCTTGGCTCTGAGCTAGCAGTGGGAAAGTCACTTCACCTCTCTGAGCCTCAGTATCCTCAATCCGAAAAATGCAGATAATCATGAGATTGTCCTGAGGACGGACTTCGAACATTTCAAGGGCCTAGAAGAGAGCCTGGCATTTCACTAAATGTGAGTTCTACAGAAGGCTTAGTGGTGGTTATTATCATCGCCATTGCCAAGAATAAAGCCAACAGCAACAAGAGAGAAGTGGTCTCATAACTACAAAGACCCACTAGTGGTTGCCAGAGGGGAGGGGGCTGGGGGGATGGGCGAAACAGGCGAAGAAGAGGAAGAGGTACAAACTTCCAGTTACGAAATTAACAAGCCAAGGGGATGAAGAGGACAGCATGGGGAACCGAGTCAACGATATGGTAATAGCTTTGTGTGGTGACAGATGGCGACAACACTCATGGCGGCCAGCGCTAGCGTGATGTATAGGCTTCCCGGGTCACTACGAGGTACGCCGGAAATGAATAGAGTGTTATAGGTCAACTATATACTGGGTGGCAACTGCCTGGCTGAGCCACGGAGGATTTCATCAATGCAAGAAGGGCTGGTATTTCAGGTGGAAAGGACAAGAAAGGCTCAGAGATTAGAGACACAAATAATTTCCAGGAAAAAAGCAGTACAGAGATGCTGGAGGATGGGTGGGGCCAGAAAGGAGGAGAGATGATAGTAACCAGAAAGACAAGAGGGAGACTCATATATCCGGATAGAATTCTCTTTTTTTTTTTTTTAATTTAATTTAATTTTTTCAATTTTTCTAATGTTTATTTATTCTTGAGAGAGAGATCACAAGCCAGGGAGGGACAGAGGGAGAGGGAGACACAGAATCTGAAGCGGGCTCCAGGCTCCGAGCTGTCAGTCAACACAGAGCCCAATGCAGGACTCGGACTCATGAACTGCGAGATCCTGACCTGAGCTGAAGTCGGACATTTAACTGACTGACCCACCCAGGCATTCCTAATTTATTTTTTAAAATATTTTTAATGTTTATTTTTGAGAGAAAGAGAGAGAGAGAAGCAGGCTCCATGCTGTGCCAACAGCTCAGATCCTGAAGTGAGGCTTGAACTCACGGACCATGAGATCATGACCTGAGCCAAAGTCAGATGTTTAACTGACCGAGCCATGTAGGTGCCCCCAGATAGAGTTCTTGAGGTAAGGACTGAGTTGTTTCTCTAACTGGCCACCCAGAACCTTGTACACAATAGGTGCTTAATAAAGATGACTTAGGGGGCGCCTGGGTGGCTCAGTCAGTTAAGTGCCTGACTCTTGATCCCAGCTCAGGTCATGATCTCACAGTTCATGAATTCAAGCCCTGCATCAGGCTCTATGCTGAGGTGCAGAGCCTGTTTGGGATTCTCTCTCTCTCCTTCTCTCTGACCTTCCCCAGCTTGTGCTCGCTCTCACTCTCTCTCTCTCTCTCTTCCTCTCAAAACAAATAAGTTTTATATATAAATAAATTATATATATACATATATATGTACAAATACGTATACATATACAAATTCACTCATTCATTTCACAAACATTTGTTGAGCACCTACTGTATATGCCAGGCACATTTTACTTGTGCGTAACTATGCATGCACAAGGGGAAAACAAAGACTGGGAAAATGTAGCCCATTGTTCATCTTTGGATGGTGGGATTGAAGGTGCCGTTTTGTTTTCTGTTGTTTATTGCTTGCCTACATTTTCTAACTTACCTGCAACACACTTAAACTTCCTTCTTAACGGTACATACCAATGAAACTTGTTTCGTTAATTCATGAAACTTAAACAAATCATATCCTTCATCTCCTTGTTTGGCATCCCCTTCTAAGTGAGATCCACATTTCCATGGTCTGGGTCCCCAGGTGAAGTAGAACCTCTTGCGTACACCCTGCCTCCACTGGTTGGGACTGAGAAGCCCAGTGACACTAACACCCCCATCCTCCAGCCCCCCACAAATGCCCCCAGCCCACACCTACCTGGTGATGTCTGGCAGTGTGACTAGCTTGCCTGCCTTGATGGCTGCATTGAAACAGTGTGCCCCTTGGGTCTCTGCTGTGATGATGGGCACATGCTGCCAGCCCACCTCTATGAGGCCAGCTGCCACCCCAGCTAGGAGCCCTCCACCGCCTACTGCCAGCACCAGGGCCCCCGGTGGGGTCCCCAGTGCTGCCTTCAGCTCTCGCACCAGGCTGGCATGGCCTTCCCTGGGGGAAGGAGGAAGCAGGTTGAGCAAGGTCTCCCCACATATACACAAACTCTCCTCCATTCCCAAAGGCTCACATATACACAAACTCTCCTCATCACCACCCCAATCCCCACCTGCATCAAGGGGAGAGGAGACCCAGGAACACTTAGTTCACTCAGCTTTCATTCATTCAATTTATTCATTCACTCATTCTTTCCAGGCACGTTCTCAGACACTATCCCGTTTAATCCCCTCCACAACCTTGGAAATGGGTAGTTAGTGTGTGCTTAAGAGGAGACCAGCATGTCACTTGGAACCAGCTGACTCAAGTTCTGGGCCTGGGACCCAATGTCTTGGCCACGTACTAGCTGTGTGATCTCAGGCAAGTTCCTTGACCCCTCTGTGCCTGTGAAATGGGCATAAAACACTCACCTCTAGGGCTTTGGGGAGGATCAAATGATTAAATGCATCCCAAAGTGCACACCATAAACAGGATTTGTTATTAACATTTCCATTTTATACATGTGGAAACTGAGGCATGGGGTGGTGAGATACTTTGCCGAGTCCCACAACTTGCAAGTGACAGAAGCAGGGCCTGAACCCCAGTGTGCCTGGCTTCCAAGCATCTTCTCCTTTCTAGGCCTCAGTTTTCCCTTCTGTACATTGGGAGGACACCAACACAACGAGGGTCTGGGCTCTAAGCTCTATGAGGGAGGGACAGCAACCTTACCAGATCAGGGGGTGGTCAAAGGGAGGGACGTTCACCCAACCATCCCTCTTGGCCAACTCTTGTGCCTTCAGGCTGGCCTCGTCCCAGACCTAAAGACAAATCGAGGGTCTCAGAAGGCCCAGGCATCAGACCACTCGGAGGCTGGAGCAGAGCCTGAGGTCTCCTGGATGGCCCCAGTCCCGTGCCAGGGGACGCAGAGAAAGCAAAGAAATGGTCTCTGTCCACAAGGAATTTCTAATCTAACCGAAGAGACGGGCCTCATTCTCTTGAGTTATTGAAACAAAAATGAGATTCAAAACCATGTGGCCCTTGACTCACCTGGAGCAGCTGCCTCCTCACAGGCTTCCTGCCTCCTGTCCGTTGCCCGAAAACAGCCAGACTAAGGGTCCCATCGTGTCCCTCCCCTGCTCAAAATCCTGTCATGGCTCCCCATTGCCCTCAGATGAAAACCTCAAGCCACCCTGCTGCTGAGGCGGCCATCCCCACCCCCACTCTCGGGCCTCACCTGTCATCCCCCTCCCCGGGGAATGGAATGCACCATGCTCATCCCCATGCACCATGCCTTTCCCTCTCTCTTTCTTCTGCCCACGACCCCCTTTCTCCAATGGGAGGACTTGTATTTCCCTCTCAAGACCCAACCCAGGGGACCCTTCTTGGGGAGACTTTCCGGGGTCATCTCCCCAAATCTGAGGCACAGCCTGGTGGTAGTTTGGACCACTGCCCAGTTCCTTCCCTCCATTACATTCACACACCATGCCTTTTGCCACGTGACCACTGCTCTTCCCACTAGAGAGGGCAGAGGACATTCTCCACCACCAATTGATGTAGGTCCCAGTGTGGAACTTGCTTTGGCCAATGCCATGTGACAGAAGTGACAGCACAACAGTTCTGAGCCACGGCCTTGAGAGGCACTCTGCTCTCACTCTTCCTGACATTCACCTTGAGAAGAACAAGTCCCAGGTGGCCACTGGTCAAGACGGATGAGGGGCACGCATGCAGACCTTAATCCCGTCTGCAGCCGGAAGCAGAGCCACCCTGGCCCACGCACAGGCCCACGAGCAAGACAGATCATGTTTCTCATAAGCCCCTGATATGTGGGGGCTGTTTGTTACGCAGCATTATCTAGCAGCAATCACTGATTAAAACAATATACCTTCTCTGTTCTTCCTCAGGGCCCTGTGCTTCCCATCACAACACTTAACCACATTCTCTTGTCACCGTCTGCTTATCTGTGTGTCTCCCCAACATCGGGGAGTTTTGCAAGAGTAGAGACCATGGCTTACTATCTCTATATCGCTGGCTCTAACATACTACAGGCACATAGTAGAAGTTCAATGAATATTGGATGGATGGATGGATGGATGGATGGGAGGGAGGAAGGAAGGAAGGAAGGAAGGAGTAGGAAGGAGGGAGAAAGGAAGGGACAAAGGGAGGGAAGGTGATGAGGGATGGATGGATAAATGGATGGATGGATGGATGGATGGATGGATGGATGGGAGGGAGGGAAAGAGGGTAATGGATGGGAGGATGGTTGAACGGATGAATAACTAGAAGAAAGAAGGAAGAAAGGAAGGAAGGAAACTGGACACTGAATATTTGGACACCAGGTCTCAGGTACCATGGTATGGTTTTTAGTTTTAATTCTGATGCTTTAAAAAATTCTCTTTTCCAAGGATGCTTTTTTTCCTGCTTTCCAGGAAGGTAGAAGGATTACATAGTTGCATCTCTATTTCTTCAGTAACGAGATGAGCCAGCGATATCCTTGACGGTGGGCCCCTTTCTCACTGGGGTGGTCTCAGAATAAGAAATGATGCCACCGTCATCTTTCTCTACGCTTTTTGTCTCATTAAATGCCAACAATTTTCAGACGAATAAGGCCAAGTGTTAGTGAGGATGTGAGGACACGGGCACACTCCTGGCCCATTAGCTTCCTGTTTCTCCTGGGCCCACACAGGGCAAGTAGAGGTAGGTAGAGGCGGGAAGCGCTAGCCCTCAATATACATCATGCCTCGCTCCTGCCCCTCGGCTCCGCCATCCTAAGAGAAGGTTGGGCTCCAGGCCAGCCTTTAAAAATGTGTGTGGATGGGGGGGGGGGGGGAGATACCATCTCTTAGGGGTGAGTGGAGGGTAAAGGGGAACAGCCCACTCCATCCGGCTTCTCCTTCCTGGGGTCCTTACCTTTCCAGCCAGCTGGACTTCAGCCCCTTCCCCCTGCAGCCTCCTCACCACGTGCGGGGAGGTGCCCTCAGGGAGCACAATGGTGGCAGGGATGCCCAGCTTCCGAGCGGCATAAGCAGCAGCAAAGCCTGCGTTGCCCCCTGTGGAAGAATTGGAAGGGTGGTCAGCGCGGTTTTAGCTCGTTAACACACTCCCCCCCCTCCCCCCTACTTCCCTTTGTGAGCCACTCCTTCCCCACGCTCAGATGCCCCACCTTCCGTCCTCTTTCTGGTCCCAGAGGTGGATATGTGACCTAGAATGAGTCAATCGGAGAACTCAGTCCCCTAACCTGCGACTGTTTCACGATGAGGACATGACCCAAGATGGGTGCAAAAGACCAATTCATGGATTGAGGAGAACCAGCCAGAAGGGGTGCTCCCTTTTCACTAGGGCTGATAGGATGACAGGAGGCAAGCCTGGGACTCCTGATGGCCATCTTGCTGCTCTGAGGTCTGCGTGAGATTAAAGCTAGTACAGAGGAAAGACAGGCCAAGAGAAGGAGAAATAGAAAGGGGAGCTCCTGGATCCAGCTGTACCTGAAGGTCACTTATCCCAAGAATTTTCCATTCTTGGAACCTGTAGCTTAAGCCTGTATAAATTGGGTTTTGGTCACTTCTGCCATAAGTCCTGAATGACGGGAAGAGGGCGGGCAGAGGACAGTGGCCACCTGACCATGACCTTGATGAGGCGGGACCTTCGGGAGGAGGCTGATCCCCGGACATCTACTGCTGCTGCTCCAGCTCTTCCTCCCCCACACCCAGAGCTGAGGACCCATCCCTGAGGGTCACCTGAGGAGCACACCAAGTGTCTGCATCCCCTCTTGACCGCCTGGGAAGAGAAGGAATGGGCTTAGGGGCTGACCCAAGCAGATGTCACAGAGCCTGTGCGGGATGGACTCAGACCGTCCCCAGCCCTCTCCTCACCCCTCGTCCTGCCCCTCCCATCTGTACAAGTCTGCTTCTCCCCTCCCGCCCTTGCCCCCCATCCAGCCGGCATCCATCCCCCGCCTCCTCCTCCTTCCCCTCTGCCTCCACTTCTCCTCTCCTGCCGACACCTCACCTCCTGGCAGAAATGCCCAATGCCCCGGATCTTGAAGGAGCCGGCCGGCTGCACGTTCTCACACTTGAGGAAGACGGTCGTGCCTGCCACCTGGGATAGTGCCCAGCTCTCCAGCAGAGGAGTGACCACATGGAAATGCCCACCCTGAGCACAGTCTGCCAGGGGGCTCTCCATTCCAGCAGCCTGCAGAAGAATGCGACGCTCATAGCCCAGGCTGCTCCAGCAGGAGACCTCTTAACCGGGACAGAGGAGGGAAAGAGAGAGAAGAGCCTCGGCTAGGCCCCTCCGCCCTATCTGGCTGCCGAGCTGTGACACTCCAGGCAACTAGCCGCTCAGTGTCCCCGTCTGGACCACCAGGTTTCACTCTGTAATGGGCGTTGCCCACAGTGCTGGGGATGTAGAATGTGGCCAGTACCTGGGGATGAATGAACGAGAGTAGAATTCATTCATTCATTCACTCATCATTCATTCATTCAAGCAGTCTGCAAAAAAAAAAACGCAAAACCCTTTTCTTGAGCACCTACTATGTGCCAGGCAGTTCCAGGTTTGGCGACCCAGGAGGGCCCAAGTCAGAAGCAGCCCCTGCTTGGCCAGAGCTCACATTCTAGCTGCGGAGACAGGATCGCAAAATGTCAAACAGGGGTGACAGGGGCAGGAGGCGGTATTTTAAATTTTTTAAAATCTATTTATTTTTGAGAGAGAGAGAGAGAGAGACAGAATGTGAGCAGGGGAGGGGCAGAGAGAGAGGAGAAACCGAGAATCCCAAGCAGGCTCCCCACTGCCAGTGGTGGCCGGACGTGGGGCTTGAATCCATGAACCGTGAGATCGTGGCCGGAGCGGAAATCAAGAGTCGGAGGCTTATCCGACTGAGCCACCCGGGCGCCCCTATTTATCATTATTATTATTATTATTACATTTCCCTCCTGTATTATTTTATCTGCAAATACTTCAGCACACATCTCTGAAAGTGAAAAACTCTTTTCCAACAAGGTAGCCACATGGTTTCATAACTGCATACGTTTGGACAAACTCACTGAATTCTAACTCAAAGTGGGCTCATTTTATTTTGTGGAAATTACACCTCAAGGATGCTAAGGTTTTTTTGAATCGTCAAATACCATTATCACTTCTAAATATATTATTAATCATCTCTTATTATCATCAAATACCTGGTGATTGTTCACCTTTCCATCCCTCTCATTAAGCTGGATAAATGGCTGGTTTTGCTGTCAGTGATTTGGGGTTTCTAACAGTTTGAACCAGGATGCAGATCGGATCTGCACGTGTGCGTTGGTTGAGAGGTCTTTGAATTCTCTTTCGATCTGCAGGTTCTCCAACGGGGATGTTGGAGATGAGGGACAACAGGGAGCCCAGGGAAAAGCATTCCTGCAGAGGGAACAGAGGTGGAAACCCCTTGAGAGGGAAATGAACTTGGGGAGATTCCAGTGCAGGGATAAGGGGGTTGGGCGCAGGAGGCGACCAAGGAGGGCTGGGCGGGGACTTCTGGAAGGGCCTACCAGACCACGGGGAGGAACTGGAATGTTCTTCTAATTCTGCTTGCAGTGGGAAGCCATCGGGAGGTTTTGAGCAAAGGCCCCGTTAGTGCAAAAGCGACCCCTCTTTTTCACTGGGGGCAGAAAAGCATTGGGCCAACCCCTGCAGTTCCGCTATTGGCCAGTAGGAGGAGCGCTGCAGCTTTGCCCACCCTCCACCGCCCCGGGGGTTCTTGTCCACCCTTACTTAGTCACATTGCGCCCCTGCCCCACCAGAGTTCCAGGGCTCCTGCCCCTGGAGTTGACCTGGGGCCCTTGTTGGGATGGCCCTGGGATTCCCTGGTTAGAGCAGAGTCTGAGGCACCTCCACCCAGTTCCATCAGGGGCACTTCTCAAACTGGGCATGGCATTGACGAAGACGGCCCCAAGTGGGTCACCCAAGCTCAGCATCCCTCAGCCTGGGCCTCACCTTGGCCCTGGGCTCTGGGCTGAATCAGAGACCAAAGTTAGAAACCAGCTCTGTCTTCCTAGCTGTGTGACTCCAACAAGTGTCTCAACTTCTCTGTGCCGTATTCTCTTTTGTAAAATGAGACTAATAACAGTCCCCAGACTCGCAGGGCATGGTGTGCATTCACAATAATAATAGCCCCCCTTCGTTGAGCCCCCAGTATATGCCAGACATCAGAGGAGTCCTCTAGAGGCATTACCTCACTGGGGCATTCTCACAAGGCGGGCATGCTTACCCTCACTCTAGCATGTCTGTAGGGCACCCACAAGGTACAGGCCCTGACCCCCCTCACCGTGGGGAGACCACGGTGAGCAGGACAGACATCTACTCTTGGAGCTGATGGGGGAGATAGGCGATCAACAAATAACTGTATAGACAAACAAAATAATCAGAAATGGTGAAAGTCGCTAGGAGAAAGACACACACCTAGGGAGTCTGAAGGAGAAGAACCCACTGCCAGCCAGGCACCGTGCCGGGAACCTTATATGCCATCTTATATAATCATGGCAACAACCCCGAGGTAGGTTCACCCACTAGCTCCGTTGTACAGACAACGAGACTGAGGCCCAGAGAGGTTAGGTTATCTACCCAAAGTCACACAGCTGGAAATGGCAAGGCCAGGCTTCAGACTCAGGCAGTGCACTTGGGCATCTGTGTTCTTAACACCGTGCCATGCTTTCTCTATTAGATGGCGACGATGGGGACGGTTAGGGTTGTGAGCATTTCATACTAATCGCCAGTTGTCCTTAGGCGCCAAATGCTCCTGGCTCAGTTCCCAGGCCCGCCTAGTACTGTCAGTTACACTATCGGCCCACCAAAGGACGGCAGGCATCAGTCAAATGGACAAGCCTCAAACCGTCAACAGCCTTATCAGGCCCAGAGGCCCATAAGGACGCAGGCCTCCCAGACTGAGGTCTGGGGCCAAGGTGAGACCTTGGCCTAGGGACGCATGGCTCTGACCATATGTGGCAACCACTGGGGCTGAGGTGGGAGCCCCGGGCCCTCTCGGCTGTGGGGCAATGCAGTGGGAAGCCCGGGGCTTGGGTTCAGGTCCCAGCAAGCACGACCTCGGCCACGTCCCTCCTCCTCACTGGGCCTCACCTGCCGCATCTATGAATTAGGGTAACAGTCATCCCTCAGGCTTTCCCAGAGGCCACCTGGGTGGCATAGCCAAATCCCTGGGACCAGCGCCGGGAAGCTTTGCCTGGCAGGAAGCCCCTCTGGCAAGAAGGGCCTGCTCCCCAGCCATCAGAGTCCCCGGCACCCCGCCTTCTTTTCCAAGGCAGTCCAGACCACAGAGCACCCCGAGTTAAATGAGCGTTCCTGGGAAGGTTTCGCACCCGTACCCTCTCACTTTGTGTCCACTCATCATGGACTTTGCTCCAGAACCTTCCGGACTATCCTACGCGCACATGCACACACAGCCCCAGGGGCAGCATTCGGGCCCCAGGCCCCATTACCTTCCAGCCGAACAGTCCTCAGACCCAGCTTGGCTCCAGTCTGTGGCCCAGCGGCCAGCCCAGCCGGAGCACCAGCTCTGCCCAGTTTCCTGCAACTTCCTGTAGCCTTGGCCCCTCCTCCCCCGTTAAAGGGACATCTCCCCGCCGGAGGAAGAAAGGGGACAAGATTCAACCTTCACTGCCCCGCTGTGCACTGTCCAGGGTCCCATTGGACAGATGAATAAATTGAAGCTCAGAGAGGGAGACTCTCTTGGCCAAGGACCAGCTCTCCTGTGACACCGACATCTCCGAATCCTCTTACCCAGGGTCCAGTGTCTGCTCTGTGTACCAAGCCACCATCCCTGGGCCACTGTCAGGTCGGCTTAGGTCAAAGGACAAAGAGACAATTGTTATCTGTCACGCGAGAAGGCCTAATTTTTTTCTGAAGCCCCTCCTCACCTCTAATATTTCACTCCCAACACAGGCACCCAAATAATTACTATGGTTCAAATGAATGACTCTGACCATTGATTCAGTCAACAACTATGTACTGACCGCCTACTATGTGTCGAGCGCTGGGACTTTAGCCCCAAAGGACACAGCAAGTCCCCTGCCCTCATGAAGCCCCAAGGGGCCACCAGAGAGCAGTTACCATCGGTGTCTATCAGATGCTATCAGGCAGAGGTGGGGGAGGGCTGTGGACGCCCAGAGCAGGTACCTCACCTGGCCCCGGGGGGCTGGGAAATTTCTTGGAGGACGGCAGGTTTGGGGCTGGAGATGTGGGCAGGAACCACAGTCTGCAGGATGCCTATGCCACTCCAGAATCTGGGACTTACCCAGGGGTACTGGGGACCCATAGAAGACTATAGGCAGAGGAATAACACGAGCAAATTTACATCTTGTCACCATCTCGCTGGGTGAAACCGAGCTAGTCATATCCATCTCTGAGCCTCAGTTTCCCTATATACAAAACGGGAGGTGAGCTCCAGGAAGGACCTGGCAGCCGAGATGTTCTTTGCCCTCCTAGGACTACGTGTGACCTCCCCAGGCTTGATGATTAACTCCTGGCTGCTCGCGGTCAAGTTGAGCTGCTTGGCCATGACCCTTGATGAGGGTTCTGGCAGCTTCCTTGCCATCCTCCCACGAAACATGTACCCGTCCTCGTCAAATGTCCTGTCCTGGACGGGGCACTGGGGACGCAGAGGTGGCAAAACCCAGTTCGTGCCCCGAGGTGGCCTCTGGCCTGGAGGGGAGAGGAAGACATCCAGTTCAGAGAGCAGAAGGTCCGCATAGGGCAGCTGGGGGTGGGGGAGAATCAGGGAGGGCTTCCTGGAGGAATGGGGCCTTAGCAAACAGCTTAGACTTGAACAAGAAGCATGATAGCCCTCGAACCACACGGATGTGAACTGCGCAGGTCCACTTATATGTGGGTTTTTTAATACTATACACGTATTTTCTGTTCTTTACGATGTTCTTAAGGTTTTGTTTTGTGTTTTGTTTGTTTGAATAGTAAGTGGGAGCCATGGCAGCGGTTTCTGGAACGCAGACCACGGAACCAGCCTCTGGCACAAACACCACTGCCACTTCCTCGCTGCGCAAACTCGGGTCAGTCCCTCAGCCTCTCTGTGCTTTGTTCCTTCAACTGTAAGAGGGGGCTAGAACACAACCTCTCTGGTGGAGTTACAGGGAGGATCACGCGAGTTAAGACGTGTAAAACATTTAGAACAACAGACAGTGGCGGCATGCGACGGTGGGAAGTGTGGCGACACGACGTCGTCGGATCACGGAATACTCGTTGCGTGTCAGCATCCAGACCGAGCTCAGAAAGGTCAAGCCGCTGTCCCGAAGTCACACAGCACTGGCAGAGCCAGAGCTCAGAAGCCGAGGGGCCAGGCTCCAGAGCACCTGTCTTAGAAGCGCACCAAGTGGGGACGCCAGGATGGCTGCATCAGAGGGCAGATAAGACTGGAGGGGTGGCCCGGGTCACTGACCCGTGCCCTCCCGGAGCCCAGAGCTACGTTCGTCAGCCAGCCCCTGTCCCTGACGCCCACAGCCGCCAAACACTCACGCTGGCCAGTCCCCCGGGTTATTCATTAAGCTTCCTCTTACCAGCTTCACCCCAGCTGTCGCCAGGGCGAGGAGGGATGGAACCTCGGACACAGGAGACTGGCCCTCCCGATTCCCGTTTAACCCCGGACTCTGTGTCATTCACTTTCCAGGCCGCGGGGGCAGCTTTGCACCAACCGGGGCTAGCCTAGCCCGCGAGTAACCCAGCTGGGATGTGGACCCGGGTCTTCTGATGTCCGATGCAACACGGCATCTCAGCTGAGGTCTCGGATCCCTCGACTCTCGCCAAGACGCTAAATCCTTCTAGCGCAGAGAGGGTCTCAAACCCGGGGGCCGCATTTCCGCTGACTGGAGCTAACCCACCATGTCCTCTAACACAGTATATGTGGCTCTCCACCTGCCACCGTCCCCATCCCTCCCTGTGGCATCCTCAACACCCAACAGGCCCCCGCCCGGCCCCTGAGATTTCTGAGTTTGAGACCCTTGCACACCGGAACTCTCCCTCTCTCTCTCTCGCCCTTGAAAAGAAGGAGTCAGTTATCAAGGGAGAAGCAGAGGGCACAGAAAGGTCGAGCGACTTGGCCCAAGTTGCCCAGCAAACAGGCCACAGGACCAGTCTTCAAGGGAGCCCACATCCAACCTGGATGCTCTTGTCCTCAGAGACTTACACACCCACAGCCATCATGTCTGAGCTGGAAGAATCTATGTGGGCCTAATGCAACCTCTTTCTGGATGGAGAAGCTGAAGCCAGCGGCGGGGG